TAGAGTATCCCATTCATCAATTTTGTCATCTCCAGATTGTGCATTTCTGGCTGTATTTATATTGTAGCCTAGTCCGTCTAAACTTAATTTGATTTTGTCTTTATTAACATTATTATTTGGGACTTAATCCCAGGTCTGTGATCCACCTTGAGTTGATTTTTGTGTATGGTGTGAGATGTGGATCCTGTTTTTGCTATAACAATCCTTTACATCTCAGTTGTTAATGGCTGTTGAACGGCATACTACCCATTTTGAGCCTATGAACAAAATATCTGAATCCTGTTCTAACTTGTACTATCTTTACAACCTTTTACATACTTGGTCCCATTGCTACAGACACTGTGTCAATCTACCTGTTTAAGGATTTTCCTGTCTTTCACTAACCATCTACCTTTTTCTAAGCATAATGTCCTTTACAAGGAATAGCCTCTCTGTCCAGCATTCCCAAACTATATGAGACAAAGCTTTATTACCTTCAACTTCAAGGAGCGTTTTGACTGCAACTTTTCCAATACACATGTTTGTTATTTACTGGAAGTGAATGGGATATTCAATACTATTTTCCAACTCATATAGCAAAAATACCTCAGTTCTTCTATAATTTTTATTCATTATACAGCTTTCAGATGCATAGCATGTGACTGAAAAAACCATGTCCTGAATCAGGTAAATAAGTGATCAAACTGATATCATGGCTCCTCAATAATTTGGCAGTGTAATATGTCTCCTGATTTCCTAACTGGTAGTGCCAAAAGTGTTGATTGTGTATCCAGAAAATTGGAGTCATTAATAGTTAAAATCTTTTTTTCCTATTTATCATGATGCTACCTATCAATCCTGTGATGAGAATTTTTGTTTTCATGTCATTAAGATGCAACCCATATTGAAGGCTGTATTCTTTAATCTGCATCAAATATTTCAGGCCCTCCTCATTTTCAGTAAGCAAAGTGTGGCATCTGCCCAATGTAGATGACTCATGAGTCTTCAGTCTTGATGCCACAGTCTTCTTAGAGTCCAGCTCCGTGAATAATTGAATCTAATGACTGGCTATTGTAAATAGTATTGCTCTTCTATTTGTCCCCCCTCTGTATAATTTCTTTGTTGCCGTAGAGAAATTTTTAAATGTTGGCCTTATACCACTCTGTTAAATTTGTCTCCTAGATCTAACAGTTGTTTTTTTGTTGTTGG